CCAACTAATGTAAGGTATCCATTTCAGCCTGGGTGAAACTCAGGGACTTTCTGTTGGGATTGTGATGAAGACTCGCATGTGACATGACTCGAAGCAGGTTAGGCCAGTAAGGCTAAAACATTCAATAGCCTCTTCTTTACCCTGTACATATAGTTAAGTTAAGTGTAAAAAAAAATCAAATGTAAAAGCCTGAGCTAAATTTAAACAGAGATATGCCCCTCTAACATTCCCCCCCCCCCCCCCCCCCCCCCACACACAAACATCCACCCTCTAGGTGTTCTGAAGTAGATGGCGCATGAAATTATCCTACGTAACATGGAAAAAAAATTCATGAAAGATTTCTATTCGTTGTGCTCTACTTCACCTGAATCCAACAACAGCGTTGAATAAAGGAACCAACATCAAAATGTAGAAGCTGGTACGACACGACAGATTTGACTGATGACGTGGAGATACCACTCAATGGAATTGTGTGTTTCATCAACCTCCCAGCCGTGACACTACCCCCACCCCCACCCCCACTCCACACACCCCCACCCTAACACATCATCCCCCATTTTCTACGGTCACGCTTGACTCCATTATGGCATTATGTAAACCGCATTTCTATGAACAAACGAAATGTAATAGGAATTTTGCCGGTCTATTTTTGTACTATGACGTCAACAGTTTTTTTTTTTTTTTTTTTTAAAAGCGCAGCTGTTAACTGAGAACAACGGTGCTGGGTTCAAATATGAACAAATAGTCCGATCCGATGTTCAAATATGTGATTATAGGCTCATGCTTACATAACGTCATGCAAGTTTTGCTAAATTGTCTCCCCTTTCCTACGTCACAACTTTCCAGACCCCCGTGTCCCCTCTTGTCTCATACACACAGCTATATATTAAACATAACTCTTATGGATTATGGAGTTCTTATGGAGTTTATATAAACACACACATATATATATATATATATATATATATATATATATATATATATATATATATATATATATATATATATATATATATATATATATAAATGAATATATGAATATATATATATATATATATAAATATATATATATATATATATATATATATATATATATATATATATATATATATATATATATATATATATATATATATGCGTGTGTCATCCATGTAGACACTTGTGTGTCACCATAAAACGAAAGGTTTGAGTGATCACCACCGTGTTTAATCACAAAGCTGCGTCTATTTATAGCACCGCGCATGAGGTCACATGTCAACCTGCCCCGCGGCGACCAACTGCAACCATGGCAACCCATCTCGTCTGATAAAGCTGATAACGCCAGCCGTCTGCCGGGTTCCGGTAAACCTGGAGGTTCCAGACAGCGGGGAGGTTCTAAAAAACCTGGAGGTTGTGGGGACACGTTGCATGGCAACAAGGGTTGGGTTCATCACGTGATAGTCCCACATCTTAGCTCCAGTGGTTTATCATTGAACACATTAGAAACATGTTTAGATTTAAATTGTCTGCCTAGGGTGGATTGAAGCACATTAGGTTCTTATCAAAATTTCAGTCCTTATTAAAATTTCACTATAATCTCTCTCGCTATAGGCTTATATATATATATATATATATATATATATATATATATATATATATATATATATATATATATATATATATATATAGTCCTGTTATACATTAAAATTAACACAGTACAGGCTGGGACGGGACCTACCCCTCACCCCAAACAGCTACACCCCCTGACCTGACACTCCCTGACCTTGACACCCCTGACCCAGTAAGATTAGAACACGCGGTGATGATGAAATCGATGACGCCATAAGCACAAGACTTAGCAATTACCGCTAATCCATAAATAATTAAGTACTTAAGTACCTGGCCAGTGAAAACATACTTCAGTACACCACTCGATATAAAGGTAAAGATAGACGCTATGTAATATTGATAGCCGCGATTATCTGGGTCCGAGATTATATCGAGACTATTTATAGAACACTAACTGTAATGTTGATAGCTGCCATGTTCTGGGTTTGAGATTATAGAACTTACGTATGGCTGCATTTTCTAAGGTTGTGATGTGTTTATTGATGAAATAAAACGGTTTTATTTCTTAAACGGGATGACGAAATAAACACGCCATAGTCTGGGTTCGAGATTATATGGAGCCTATTTATAGACCAAACGCTGGTGATGTTGATAGCTTCGATTGTCTCGGTTGGAGATTATATCTAGCCTATTTATAGCCCAAGAGCGTGAATGTTCTGTTGACAGCTACGAACGTCGGGGTTCGAGATTAAAGCAAGCCAGGTCACGCTGAGGTCGACTCTTTAAAAAACGGTGACAAGAAGATCGATTCTAGTCTAAAGTTTTTCATTGAGGAAAGAACAGAAGTTGGTCTATAAATAGGCTAGATCTAGCCAGGATAAAACTAAAACGTCCATGCGTCATAAAACACTAAAGTAATGGATAAAAACAACAGAGTACATATATTTGTAAATGGAGACAATATTTGTAGATGAGGGGGGGGGGGGCAATGAATCGCATCTTTACCGCCCCATGAAATTTCCAAATTTGCTAAATTAAATTAGCCACCATTATTACATTTGAGATACAAATCTACTCAACCGAAAAAAATTGCGTCATTGTTATTTAATTATGAAATGTTTATTAATTTAATAACTAACACCCCCTGGCTCTTAAAAACAACAGAACTCAAATTACAATTAATTAAGGGATCATGTATATATATATATATATATATATATATATATATATATATATATATATATATATATATAACACAAACGTGTTTTGGTGGTCATTTTGTGTTATACAGGGTAGAGGGACAGCATAGAATTTAATATTAGATAGTGAATTTTATTTTACTTATTCTTTGGGCTGCACAGTTTAGCTGTCCTGATTGGTTAGTTTAACAGGCTGACATCACTAACTTCCATCATGTAAATTACATGCCATTTATTTTCAACAAAAACTAACTGAAAGTTTTACTGTTTTTAGATGCAGATGTAACAGCCTATTCTCTTTAACTCGTTTGAATAGAGGTTTATTTTTTGTAACAAAATTTGTTTTTTTAAGGTGTGTGTGTGGGGTGGTGTGTGTGTGGGGGGAGGTGTGTGTGTAGGTGTGTGTGGGAGGAGGGGTCTAGTAATGTAGTGTAGTATGAGGCGAAGCGTTCTTTAAAAAAAGTAATATAATATTATGTGTGAAGGGGGGGAAGGTAAAACACAATGTGACATTGTAATGTTGCGCTACTTAATTTATGCACGCCCCTGAAGTCACTCAGTGCTACAGTGATGTTCCCTGCCTAACATTTACGGGCTACATGGAATGTCCGTTGTCACAGCAGAGGCTTAGTTAGTTCGTCTATCGAGTCACGTGTCAAATTGTTCAGTTTATGATCCAGGTAAAGATAAGTTGCGATGCATAATTTAAGTGTGTCGTTGTGTTTGTATGTGGTTAAATCGCCAGGCACTAATGGCAAATTTTATGTAGTTAAAGAGCAGGTTTCGTGTAGTTATAGGGATGTTTCGTGTAGTTATAGAGCAGGATTCTTGCAATTATAGAGCAGGTTTCGTGTAGTTAAAGAGCAGTTTCGTGTAGTTAAAGAGAAGGTTTCGTGTAGTTAAAGAGAAGGTTTCGTGTAGTTAAAGAGCAGTTTCGTGTAGTTATAAAGCAGGTTTTGTGTAGTTATAGAGCAGGTTTCTTGTAGTTAAAGAGCAGGTTTCGTGTAGGTATAGAGCAGGTTTCATGTAGTTAAAGAGCAGGTTTAGTGTAGTTAAAGAGAAGGTTTCGTGTAGTTAAAGAGCAGGTTTCGTGTAGTTAAAGAGCTGGTTTCGTGTAGTTATAGATTAGAATGATAACAATATCCGAGTTTATTTTTATCTCAATTGTTACATATCACGTAAATGGATGTGTACATCTTTTATAGATTACACCAGTAGCTTTAATATATTATAGACTACATAACTGTCAGAAGCTAACAGTAAATCTATTTTTATATGCTGCATACGTTGTCAAGGTAACAATACATACATCTTTTATAAGCTACATACCTCAATAGCTAACCAGTAAACACATCTTTTATAGGCTACACAGATCATCATTTAATACTAAACACATCTTTTATAGGCTGCATAGATCATCATTTAATACTAAACACATCCTTTATAGGCTACACATATCATCATTTAATACTAAACACATCTTTTATAGGCTGCATACTTCGTCAATAGCTAACAGTCAATACAACACTTTTCGTACGTTATTTATTCCGGTTAATATGTTATTGAAATTTTATAATTACCCTTTTCTGTCACGGCTAAATACACTGAGGTCAAGGAAAACAACAAACAGACAACATAATTCCACCAATTGTTCGAAAATTAGTTGTCATAATGACTTTTTCTGATCAGTTTTTACAAAATTAATGAGCAATTATTTTAACACTTGGTGTAGGAAATACGTCGGTGAAATTTAAAGGATAAAGGCGTGTGCAGAAGAGTGGGGAGTGGGGGGGGGGGGAGGAGCATAGAAGGTTTAAAGAGAGGTGAGGCAGAGAGGGGTTCTATAAGATGCGATGCATAGATCTAGGGCCTAGAGTGATTTCTGAAAGAGGTGTAGGGTAAATGTACCAACCCCTCCCCTCGCAGAAATCAAACACAAATCTTTACAGACCACTCCCCCCTCACAAAAATACAAAACACCATACCACTCCGATACCCACGAAAAAACAAACACCAAACTTACCACCCCCCCCCTCACAAAATTACACCCAACATACATCTTACCACCCACATCCCCCTCCAACACAAAATTATACTTTACAGAAAACTTGCTACCCCACACACACATTTACACCCTACACCAAACTTCCTATACCCCCCTCACAAATCACACCCCAACACAAAACTTACCATATCCCCCCCCTCTCAAAAAATTACATCCCACATAATATCACACATAACCATAAAACTTACCCTACGACTAAGTCCGATAACTCCTTCTAACTGCGCCACTGATGTAAGAAACAAATCCAATCACATGGGCACCTATACCACCAGGGCACATCTGCCCGACCCCATGCCTCCCCGGCTCTGTCCCGATACAACTCTGTATTGATCGCCTCCCCTTGGTCGCTCGCCGCAGACGACAGCGGTCTGGATATCCGCGCGTCACGTCCGGTCAATAGTCCAGCAGATTACCACAACACATGCACTGAGTTAGAAACAAAACAAGTCATCAATTCCTCGTTTCACATCTGTTACATAACACATTTTGTAATATTAGATAAAAAAATTTAAACAATTCATTAAAAATCTTTTTTTTTTAGTATGGAAGTCCTAAATATCACTTTATATAGATCTAGGTCTAGAATGTTTTCTAATAAAAGATGTATTCGTGTATTAGCCTTACCGTGACTAAAGATAAGCAGAACTTTTAAACTGGGCTACGCTTTATATAGATCTAGATCTAAAGTTAAACACACGCTATGTCGTACAGTCGACTACATATTTAACATTGGGTTTTCCCGAACACGGGAAACAAAAGTTATGGCAGAAAAAAAAGGGGGCGGAGCGAAGTTGAGGGGGGGGGGTGTTACCATGACAAATTTAAAACCGTTCCGCCGTGTGGTGATTAATGAGGTCAGGGACGCTACGAACACGTGTTGGACACACCCTGTTAGTTAGTGGTGAATGAAATGTCGTTTGGACTTTATGTTTTTACTTGACGGGAAATGAAAAACACGGAAGTGAAAGTTTCGCGGGGATGGAGTGAATGGCTCTTTCAAGTCTAAAGACGGTGTTTTGATCGCGTCCATTAGGGTGTGTTGACTTACATGTGGGGTTAAGATGGTGATTTCAGGAACGGAATTTGTTGATGTGAAGAAATACGTTAGAGCTGGGACTGTAATTTTTAAATATGATGTTATTTGCACTATGTGTGTTGGCATTTGCGATTATTTATGACGGAAGTGTGAGCAGCTATGTTGTTTTCTAGTCAGGTCAAGAGCAAAGTACTGACCACCAGTGTTTCTTCCAGACTTTTTCTCCGTGGGGGGGGGGGGGGCACTTGAAATTTTCGGGGGGGGGGGCGGTAAACTTTCTTTGGGGGGGGGGGGGCGGACACTGTTAAAAGTATATATTTTCTTTATAAATTGTATAAATTTCATTTCGTTCGGGGGAGGGGGGGGGGGGGGTGGCGTTAAAAAATTTGGGGGGGGGGCGATGCCTGGAAGAAACTCTGCTGACCACACCATCCCTTCATTACAAAGTACTGACCACACCATCCCTTCATAACAAAGTGCTGACCACACCGTCCCTTCATAACAAAGTGCTGACGCCACAATCCCATCATAACAAAGTGCTGACCACAGCATCCCTTCATAACAAAGTGCTGACCACACCATCCCTTCATAACAAAGTGCTGACCACACCATCCCTTCATAACAAAGTGCTGGCCACACCATCCTTTCATTACAAAGTGCTGACCACAGCATCCCTTCATAACAAAGTGCTGACCACACCATCCCTTCATAACAAAGTGCTGACCACAGCATCCCTTCATAACAAAGTGCTGACCACACCATCCCTTCATAACAAAGTGCTGACCACAGCATCCCTTCATAACAAAGTGCTGACCACACCATCCCTTCATAACAAAGACACACCTGCATAACAAACTCTTACTCTAATGACAAACAAAGGCTTGAATCTTTAGGCACTGTACTCGTGCATACATTCTCATAGCACACTTTACAAGCACACGTGCATACGCACGCACATACACACTACCACTACCACATGTTTATGCCAACACACACCACATCCATATCAACTTACAACTACAACTACAACAACATTATCAACACACAACAGAAACATCATCAATATACAACTACAACAACATCGACACAACACAACTAGAACATCATCAACACATAACTAAAACATCAACATCAACAACACACAACAACATCATCAATGCACAACTACAACAACATCAACACACATCTACAGCAACATCAACACACAAATAAAACAATATCAACACACAACTACAACATCATCAACGCACAACTACAACATCAACACACATCTACAGCAACATCAACACACAAATAAAACAATATCAACACACAACTACAACATCATCAACGCACAACTACAACAACATCAACACACATCTACAGCAACATCAACACACAAATAAAACAATATCAACACACAACTACAACATCATCAACACACAACTACAGCAACATCAACGCACAAGTACAGCAACATCAACACACAACTACAACATCATGAACACACAACTACAACAACATTATCAACACACAACTACAACAACATTATCAACACACAACTACAACATCATCAACACACAACTACAACATCATCAACACGTAACTAAAACATCATCAACACACAACTACAACATCATCAACACACAACTACAACATCATCAACACACAACTACAACATCATCAACACACAACTACAACAACATTAACAACACACAAATACAACATCATCAACACACAACTACAACAACATTATCAACACACAACTACAACATCATCAACACACAAGTACAACAACATTATCAACACACAACTACAACATCATCAACACACAACTACAACATCATCAACACGTAACTAAAACATCATCAACACACAACTACAACATCATCAACACGTAACTAACACATCATCAACACACAACTACAACATCATCAACACACAACTACAACATCATCAACACACAACTACAACATCATCAACACATAACTACAACATCATCAACACACAACTACAACAACATTAACAACACACAAATAAAACATCATCAACACACAACTACAACAACATTATCAACACACAACTACAACATCATCAACACACAACTACAACAACATTATCAACACACAACTACAACATCATCAACACACAACTACAACATCATCAACACACAACTACAACATCATCAACACGTAACTAAAACATCATCAACACACAACTACAACATCATCAACACGTAACTAAAACATCATCAACACACAACTACAACATCATCAACACACAACTACAACATCATCAACACACAACTACAACATCATCAACACATAACTACAACATCATCAACACACAACTACAACAACATTATCAACACACAAATACAACATCATCAACACACAACTACAACAACATTATAAACACACAACTACAACATCATCAACACACAACTACAACAACATTATCAACACACAACTACAACATCATCAACACACAACTACAACATAGACAATCTAAATAAAAATAAATCGACCAGAAGCTCCATTGCCGGTCCATCCATTATTTATCACCGAGAGCATTTCACCCGGCATTCTGGTTGAAATGTCACCCTGACATCTGGACATATGCCATCGATGTCATCACGATGTCATCACGATACACAGACAACTCAGCTCCACATTTGCAATCATCGTAAGGCAATGTTTGTTTTATCAGTTTAGTGCCTTACTTGTTCTAAGGGCTGCGTGGTCTAGTAGTAGAGCACATGACTACCAGTCCAAAAGTCTCGAGTTCGATTCTCATGTTCGATTCTATAATACACATTTGGGTTCACCCAGCTCATATGCGTACCTGGAACAAGTCTGGGAAATCAAAAACTGCTCGTCAGAATACCAACAAGATATTAAAAAAAACTGATGAACTCTACTTCACCATCCAATTAACTTTAATATCCAAGTTTAACTACATGGTTAGTCACATGTCTAACCAAAGCATTCCTTCATCACTTTTAAATAAACAGAATAAAACTTTCAAACAATGACTGCAAAGAATTTCAACTAATAATTATTCTGTATATTCCCCAGGCGTCAGTAAGTTTTGTCTTATCAAACATCTTGCATCTGTCTGCACTTGTCTAGACTACACTTTGATTGGACACAGGAAGAAAACGTTAAAAACGACACGAATAATTACAGTCGTGTGAGTAAGTTTACCTCTAGGTCATGTTGGCCTAATTAGTGAGTATTTTTTTTTTTGGTCGGTCTTGTTAGTAATTGGTTAACTTGGAGATAATTAAAGGATTTGAACAAAGTTGAATTAACTAGGGCTAGAGAGGAAGAGAGAGAGAGAGAGAGAGAGAGAGAGAGAGAGAGAGAGAGAGAAAGAGAGAGAGAGAATGGGGGGGGGGGGAGGCTATTATTTTATATGATGAGTACCTGACAAATTGAAAAGAAAGTAAAGGTGTCTGGACATAGTGTTGACTACACTATCCCTTCATATGCCGAGATTAAGAAATATGTGGACTCTACTTCATCTGCCATATGGATGATTACGTCTGAATGGGGATTTAATTTTTCTTTTACTCGTAATCAGGGGCGTTCGTAATAAGAGGCGTTCGTAATCAGGGGCGTTCGTATTCAGGGGCGTTCGTAATCAGGGGCGTTCGTAATTAGGAGCGTTTGTAATCAGGGGCGTTCGTAATCAGGGGCTTTCGTAATCAGGGGCGTTCGTAATCAGAGGCGTTCGTAATCAGGGGCGTTCGTAATCAGAGACATTCGTAATCAGGGGCGTTCGTAATCAGAGGCATTCGTAATCAGAAGCGTTCGTAATCAGGGGCGTTCGTAATCAGGGACGTTCGTAATCAGGGGCGTTCGTAATTAGGAGCGTTTGTAATCAGGGGCGTTCGTAATCAGGGGCTTTCGTAATCAGGGGCGTTCGTAATCAGAGGCGTTCGTAATCAGGGGCGTTCGTAATCAGAGACATTCGTAATCAGGGGCGTTCGTAATCAGAGACATTCGTAATCAGGGGCGTTCGTAATCAGAGGCATTCGTAATCAGAAGCGTTCGTAATCAGGGGCGTTCGTAATCAGGGACGTTCGTAATCAGGGGCGTTCGTAATTAGAAGCGTTTGTAATCAGGGGCGTTCGTAATCAGGGGCGTTCGTAATCGCGTTGGTAAGCCGAGATGTTCGCAACCAACAGTGTACGTAACGCGAGGCTCGCATGACTCACATTTTTCGTAATCCGAGACATCGTCGCCTGGAGCGTTATCAGATCGGGTCCCAATCGCTATCGACCACGGCGATCGGTGCCGGCCTGATCGAAGCGATCACACGCCACGCCCCATCGCGTTAACCCTACGTATTACACCAGGGGGTGGGGGGGGGGGAGGGGGGCTGGAGGGTGTCGCGACCTG